AAACAACCTCTTGGCTGATCTATAAGTGAGGGCAAGGCTAACTCACAGATTGAACCCTGAAACAACCTCTTGGCTGATCTAAGTCAGGGCATGGCAGATCGAAATGCAGTTTAGACCCTAGAGGTGAGAGGCAAATGCCGTCCCTTGATTCTATTATTCAATAATTCTCTCTGTATTATAGGATTACTATGCTAGAGGCACATTCACTCCTTCACGAGATTCCTCACAGGACTGGCACCTGATAAGTGCGAAAGAAGACGGGGTTAACACAACTGTGGAGTTTAAGAGGAAACTCGACACCGAAGATGCAAATGATCAACAATTTAAGGTAAGACAACAGACCTTTTCTGAGATATAGTGAATGGATAATATGGTGCATTGTGATCTTGCTTCGGTACAAACATCTTTTGTTCATCATGCATTATATGGTGTTGTTTGTACCCAAGCTAGACCATAATGCAACGTGTTTATCGAACTCAGTCCTCTAACATGGGAAATAAACTCTCTCTACTATGCTGTAAATTAAATCACATATCCTCAATGGAAACAAGGTAGTATAACCATATCAGTTCGATGAGCTAAGTCCTCCAGCATGGCAAATTAAACTTATCGCTATAGTGGTCATGTTGGATGACAAGATCAGTCGGTCCTCCTGCTAAACGTTAAATTAAATCTCCAATCTTCAAAGAATGAAAGTTAATATTTTGTGCAATAAAAGTGTAAGTAAGTGTAGTAGCCATATTGGATGACAATACCAGGTAGTCCTCCAACATAACGACATAAATACTCCTTATTGTTAGTTAACGGCGTGAAATTATAAAATGATAAAGAAATTAGCCAAATCACTTTTTCCTTTGACTTTGATTAGCTTACACAAGTAATAATATCTATTATATGGTAAGGTAACTTCACGTGCTATGATTGGTCAATTTGCTGTCCATTAGTAAGAGCTATTCACCATTTTCCATACATTGGTTCACTGGTCAAACACAAAGCGCTCAAGCGAGGCGCCAAGGTACTTTCAAAGGATTCTTCAAATTTGAACCTTGCAACCTCGACTGAATGCTTTTTGTTTGACCAGTGAACCGATGTATGGAAAATGACGAATATACGCCACTCAAAGTTCTTTTCAAAAATTGCCCTCGGCTTCTATAAAAAGTATATATATTTTTACTTATCTCAGACAGGTGAATCATATTTTTTGGCATGGGCATACCATAGTTCAAGCGACGATTTCACACAACATACCCAAAGAGGTTACAGTCAAAACGTTGATCTGGTCGTCGCTGCTGATGCTGGTTCCACCACAACTGCTCGCCCAAGTCCAGAAACAACCTCTACACAGAAGCCGATCCCCACAACAGCAGCAACAGTGACCCAATGTTCTCTGTTGCTGATGATGATATCTTTCCTTGCTTCTTTTCTTCTTAAATAAAATCCAGTAGAACGCGACAGGAAATAAAAATTTACCTTTTTTTTAGTTTGTTAGAATAGACTTCTTGCATGTGACGTCAAAGGTGCCCAATTTGGTGGACAAAACAAAAGAATTTCAATCTCTTGAGAATTGAGAACCTGTTGTTTTATCATTCAACAAGCTGCATTCCTAAGTAATGCAAGGAGTCTATTCTAGGCTTGCTTCAATATAAATTCAGTAGTAAAAATCAAAAGGATTACATTCCCGTCCTTTTTAGCTACATATAAAATTTCGAAGTGGAGATGTATTAAGCATAATCATATCCCTGAATAAAGTCCTTTCCTTCGCAACTAATTATAGCCTAGCTTTACGTAGAACCGCTGTAAAATTAAAAATATAAAAGAATCCAGCCTTTTAGCTAAATATAGGATTTCGAAGTGGTGACGTATTCATAATAATCCTTGAACGTCCTTTTCGCAACTAATTCTGCCCTTCTTCAGGATATATATAAATTTAGTAGAACGATCGAAACTAAAAATAAAACAAATTCCCTCCTTTTTCAGTTCCATAGAATTTTTGAAGTGGTCACGTATTCATTACATATTATGTACTTATTGACTGAGTTAGGTCGGGCCGTACGGGAAAATATTTGGCTCGAGGTCATGTCGTACGGACCGAGCGCAGCGAGGTCCGTACAAATGACCGAGAGCCAAATATTTTCCCGTACGGCCCGACCTAACTCAGTCAATAAGCATTTTATCATATGACCCTCACGAAAATAAAAATAATTAAGAAAAAGAAAGCGCGCGGATTCGAGCAGGGCCGAACGGGTTTTTCCGGCCCGCTTACGTCAACCCGTCCGGCCCCCATCACGTGACTTTTTCCAATGGTTTTATTAGAGCGCGCGAGCAGGGCCGTACGGGTCATATGATAAAGGTCCTTTCTAAAATTCACAAGAACTTGAAAGGGCATGTACCGTTCATAATAACAAAATATACAAAATTTAATTTATGTTTTTTTTATTATTATGAATATAAGTACATCATGCCCTTTTCAGTTCCTGTGGATCTTAAAAAAGGCCTATTTGCAATATTTTATTAAAATAAAATAAATAAAATAAAGAATGGCTTTATAAGAAATTTATAGTGTAAAGTTAAGAAGTTATTTCTGAATGTAAATATGCCTTTTTTAGACTAAAAACACGAATACACTCTAGATGTCTTGCATTGTCACTGCATAATTGTCTTGTTTTATTTTTTCATCTTTAAAGCTTTGTTAAAGCTTTCCAAACTCAAACCCCGTGTTAGTACCTTGAGTATTGTGTCTTTCTTTACTGAAAATACTCCAAAAGTATTACGGGGTGCCTTTTTCTATTGAGTATTATTTCTTTATCGACCAACAAGGCTAAATTAAGATAAATCAGATGTGAATGTATAAAAGGTTTTTAAAAAAAGTAAAACGATTGCGTCCAAACTGTTTGTCTGTTTGTTTTGTCGTCATGTTATTTTTCATCAACGAAAAGAATTTCATTCCACAAGATGATTGACCTTTTCACTGATTTCCTCTCCTAGTCATGGCAACAGTCATTATAAATCTTTTCTTATATTGCACTTTCCCCTGAAAAGTTTCTGGATAAAAAGAGTGGGGGAAAAATAACAAAAAACCTAGACTTATTACTTTTTCCTGGGGTCCCAAAGAAGACCTTGAGGCACGCCCGTTAAAAATTTCATCGGCTTAGAATTTATAGCGTTCGCTGTTAGATTTTGAGATAAAAATAACGAGTTTAATGAAGCGATTTATATACTGTTGCGAAACGAGAATATTACTATTAGTCCCCGTAGGCGGAAAAAGTCATTATGCCTTTTGTTGCTAATGTCTACTGAAACCAGAGAACCGTATCTAGCCTCACGCGAAAACCAATTAATTGATCATTAAATATGAGTGTTTATTTTTTCTCGATTTGTGGGTCGGAAGACAACGTTTTCCTTTTTTAATGCTTTGTAAGCCAATTAGTCAGCTCTTGTTTTACTAGAGTTAGGTTTCTTAAAGCTCCGAACATTGTTACCTGCTCGCACACCACGAAAAGAAAGGCAACGAAACCTGACCAGGACATATAGTCTTGACATTCGCAAAGAAAACGCCATGAAATTTCTTTTATTCCTCTCCTTTTTAATTTCTAACCACGTTATTTCTCTTTCGGCGAGATTATCTGGGAGAACTGCCAATAAGCTACAGTTTGATAACGGGAAGTTTAAGGTTCGTTGGAATTACTTGCCAGAATCACAAGAGATTGAGTTTAAATTGAGAGTGAAAACGACTGGTTATGTGGCACTGGGACTGACGAGAACCAACTCTGGTATGGAAGACCTGGATCTGTTTGTTGGAGGATTCGATGGATATTTACAGACTGCATATCTAGAGGTCAGTAAACTCTAGTTATTAATAGTGGGTTTTGTCTTGATAGGAGATGATATTTAGGGGTTTACATCGAATTGATTCTTAAGTAAGCCTGAGGTCCTGGTTTTCCGACCAGCTAATTAACCTCAAAAAGGCCTGTTATACATCTTATTTTCTACACATTTATATCAGCTTTGTTTTTTTTATAAATTCCTCAAATGAAAGCTACTAAAACACTGGAGGGATCAAAACAAGGATAAAAGCTTTGCAAATTTACGGAAATGTATATTAGCATGGCATGTACATTTTTTCATATGCCAATGTTTTGCTTGCTGCTTTGCATTTCAACTTCGGCCATCTACAGTTTCGCAAGTGAAAGTCATGCGTTAAGCCAAACCCTATCAAATAAAAGAAAGCACTGTCGTATGTTTTGTACTATAAAATGCAAGTGTAAACTAAGGTAGAGAATTTCATCTTTTAAGAATTCCAAGAAAATCAAAAGTTTTTAAGAAAATCTGTACGTTTTTCGATAAACTATTTATCTTTACTTTCTTTTTTTTTTTTTTTTTTTTTTTTTTAGAAGTTTAAAATTTCTAAAGTTATGTTGAGAAGCAAATATAACTTAAAAACGTAAAAATGGGTCTTTTTTTTATGTTATTTGTTGATCTTGCTTTCATCATTTAGTTGCTTCATTTGTTGCTTTAAATTGTTGTTGTTTGTTTGTTTGTTTTTTTGGGTTTCTTTGTTTTTGTATTTACTTTTCTAAATACGAAGTTCCCCATTGCGTTGCCATGTTTAAACAATAAATCAGATTTTTACATTAAAAACCATTAGCTTTATGGCGTCATTATATCGAATCAAATGAGAGCTCACGCTTAAAGTACGAATAATCGTTATTTTTAGATTCACATGAAATTGCTTCGTGATTTATGAAGAGAGCATTCGCTGTCGTTCATCACATTAATAAGATTTAGTGCGTTGCCCTTGGTAACCTAACCGAAAATACCTCCTATAGGCGATTCTCATTCCACAGTCTGAAAAATAGACCTCTTTACCTTGGACGTAATGTTTTTCTAATTCAGTCCGCATATCAATTGGGAATAAAATTCTCGGTTTGAGTTGATCCATATTCCTGTGTCCTAATTCTCATGTGAGAGTGTTAAACAAAGAAATAATTCTCTAGAGAATGGCATATGCTCTGTTTGAGTTGATCCATATTCCTGTGTCCTAATTCTCATGTGAGAGTGTTAAACAAAGAAATAATACTCTAGAGAACGACATATGCTCTGTTTGAGTTGATCCATATTCCTGTGTCCTAATTCTCATGTGCGAGTGTTAAACAAAGAAATAATACTCTAGAGAATGGCATGTGGTCTAGCTGAAATGGGATACGCCCAAGGTAAAGATTTTTTATTTGGTTTTACTACATTAATAATTGCAGGACAGACACGCGACAAGTCTTAGCTCTCCAACATTTGACACAAACCAGGACTACACCCTAATAAGCGCCAGTGAACACAAAGGAATAACAAAGATTCACTGCAGAAGAAAACTGATTACCAACGATGACAAAGATTTCCAAATTAAGGTGAGGTGGAGTTTAATTTAATGTGACGTAATATGTCATTGATTACAAGGGCGGATCGAGAGTCTCGGATTGGGTGGCCAGCCACCCAGATTTGAAGTGTTGAAGATAAGAATAAAGAGTGAATGAAATGGTAGAAGAGGTGGTGGATGGATAGATAAATTAATGGGTGGGTAGGTGGGGGAGACTGACGGACGTATGGATGAATGGAGGGAGGGAGGGAGGGAAGGAGGAAGGGAGGCAGAGAGGGAAGGAAGGAGGGAGGGAGGGAGGGAGGGATGGATGGGTGGATGGATGGATGGATGAATAAGTTACTATCTTATTTCCCTCAAATGTACAGGCGGGTGAAAAAGCGTACTTCGCGTGGGCCACCCACCCTCGCGATTACCTTCAATACCACACCAAGCGTGGCTACAGTTCACAAATGCATGTCCTGGTGCCACTAATGTTTCCCACAACACCTCCTCCAACCCCATCTCCAACACCCTCATCCCTGACAAACAAGCTACAGTTCAACAATGGTAATTTCAACCTCACCTGGGGCTATCTGTCCGAATCTCAAGAGATCGAGTTTAAAGTCCGTGCAAAAACTACCGGGTATGTAGCTGTTGGCATGACGAAAACAAACTATGGGATGAAAGACTTGGATCTGTTCTTCGCTGGGGTCACGTCGTACTCCAGGACTGTGTACCTTAAGGTATGGTAGTGAAGGTTAAGTCTCGCTTCGACTATTTCAACAATTTTTTCGTCGTTAGATCGTGTTCGCATAAATTGTACCCCACATGTGCTGAAAAGAAAAGTGTCAGACAGCGACATTAGTATGAGCTACGCTTTTTCTGTGCGAATTACATCAAACAAGCAAATGAATAGGAAGGAAGGCATATGTCGATACAGTTGAAACATTTTTACACGGTGATTTAGTTTTCTTATTCACTCGATCAGCGCACGCGTAGCAATAAAAACCAGGGTGCTTACCATTTAAACCATCATTCAAATTCATTCGCCAATGGTAAGAAAAGAGCGGGAAACTTTGACTTCGAAAAATGGTACACGCGTCTACCGAAAGAACAGAAATGAGCGGGAAAAGTGGTAAAACATGTACATTTGTCGCTTTTTCTGGTGTTTTAGGATAAACACGTGAATGGTTACAAAGCTCCCCGACAGGACGCCAAGCAGGATTATACTCTTATTAGTGGTAGCCAATTTGGTGGAATAACGACCATCCACTGTAAGAGAAAACTGATCACCAACGATAATAAGGATATCCAGATACAGGTAAGTGTGTAAGAGAACGTTTTCGAGTGCCAAATTACCGCTGTCTTTCTTAATTACAGACTCATTTACACAGGGTTAGCCTCGATTTTGTGCAGAACTGATTCAAGCGTGTTCCAGTCAAGGCCCGTCGAGTTTCAAAGTGTTTGTATTGTTGAAGTTGTGCATTCTTTACTTTACCGTTGGTATTTGTGAATATTTAAACACTGATACGAGGCTAAACCTGTGTAAATGAGTCTGTAAACAAGGAACCCGGCAATTATTTGAAACTCGAAACTATACTCATAGTCTATATCAAACTCTCCCATCTCAAGGAAACAGAAAGGGCTTGAGCCATTTCTATTTGATCATCGGATGAGGGCCACAGAGTTGCTAGCCACGGGCAATAAACCGCTTTATCTTGTGCGCAATGTTTTCCCATTTCAGACCACGTGTCATTCCCTAGAGTATCATTTCTTTGTTTAACGTTTGATGATGTGTATGCAAATTATGTTTTATTTTTTGCTAACAAAATATTTTTCCAGGCTGGTGAGAAAGTGTACTTTGCCTTTGCAACTCACTACAGAAACGATTACCTTTCTTATCACACATCACGTGGTTACAGCTCACAAATGTACGAGATTGTGCCAGCTGCCCCACCTACCCCTCCCATAGCGCCAAGGTTAGTACCTGAATGATTATCATAGTACGAAATATCTAGAAAATACCATTGTATATTTATTTAATTCAAAGATACGATATGTTAAACATTTCCTAATCTGGAAATATGCTGGCTTACAGACCCAGTATGGGAGATGGATGCTCCCAGTAATGGGCTTCTGATCTGGGAATATGCTGGTTCACAGACCCAGTATGGGAGAAAGATGCTCCTCGTAGTATTCCAATGCGAGAGCCACTAAGTCTTGCTCAATCACTGAAATTTCTTTTTTTATTCTAGTATCGTATATGACAAAGAGATTTCATTTCGTAACGGCATCTACCGCATGTTCTGGAAGTTCGACTCAACCACAAATGAGTTATTCTTTAAATTAAGAGCGAGAGCTAATGGTTGGGTTGGCCTTGGATTGTCGAACAAGAATCGCCACATGGAGGAGATGGATGTCGTAATCGCTGGAGTAAAAGATGGACACGGTTACATAGGGGTAAGGCTGTTCCTTGTGTACAGTGCCGATAGATCGACGCATGTATGGGAATCAATTTTCAAGATATATTTCACTATGGCGTCACACTTCGTTTATAAGGGGACAGAATGGTGAAGAACAATAGGAATTTGGACTAACTTTGCTCTGCAGATGAATTGATAGCTGTGATATATAGATCTTGTTTTCAAACATTTTACAAAACAAGTGTTTATTCTACAATATATACGGTATTTGATGGCTGTTATTTCTAATTAAGTCTCAAAAAATACTATTTTTCGCTGTTTTCATTCCTCTATTTTCTATTCCCCGAACACTTCATTCGCCCATCCTTCCCCAAAAAAGCTGCAAAGTACTATGCGTAGGTAAGAGAAGATTATAGCTACAATTTTATTGATGGTCTGTTTTGTGTCAGGACTATTTCTCTTACCAACTGGCAGTCCCAGTAAAGGACCAAAAACAAGACAACATCCTGCTAAGTGCCACAGAAAGCGATAGGACAACAACTGTTGAGTTCAAGAGGAAAATTGCTACAGGAGATTATATGGATTTACAAATAAAGGTAAGGTATAGCCAAAGGGGTGTCACTTTACCATAAAAATATTCAACAGTAGAAATTGGCCTCACTACTACTCACATATGACAGCGAATCCAAGAATCGACCCTGGGTCGCATTTGTGAGAGTCGAGCGTTCTCGCCACCCTTGCATTCCTAGAAATCTCACCCTTGAATCATATCTTGGTGATAATAAGAAGCTTTATGCATGGTGCATATATAATTTTGATAAAATGTTATCTTGTTTCTGAGTCAGCCTGGAAAGTCGTACTATATAGGTTGGGCGTATCAAAGTTTCAGCGACAACCTTGTGTATCACTCACTCAGAGGGTATAGTGAACAGAAAGTGGTTTTGATCGAGCTGAATGGTAGTTCAGTAACATCAACATCATCATCATCATCAACAACTACGCAAGAAATACCACCATATACACCTACATCTTCATCATCA